TCATCAGAATATTCTTCATAATTTTATGTTTTAGTTTCTTATACTTCATCAAAGTTTTCTGGTTCTATTGGTTGACCTAATTCATTTGGACCATGTTCCCATAATTTATCTCCTTATTTATGCAAAATATAACCAGCTATTCCTTTCTCTTATTCTTTCTTTAAATCAACACTATCACAACCAATAGCTATTATTGCCAATAATCTAGATATTCTATTTTAATACTTCTTTTAATGATTCACTAATTTCTTTATAGAATCTTTCTTAAATTCTCCTAACTTATCTTAATTACATATTTAATTCCATAATACTTTTCCTGCTTTCAATACTCCTGCTTCATCAACTCCATCCTTCAATTATAATGTACCAACCAATTTTGGATACTCAGCCACCACAAACACTAATCATATCTCAATAATTAATACATGATGGAACGTAATCCTCCTTTCCTGTACCATCAACAAAAGCTGGATATTCATCTGTATGATAAATTATCATTTTAGATCCATTTAACTTTTCTTACATACACTATTCAGAATCCTCAAATATCTTTTTGACTGTTAATGCATTAAATTATTTTCTTAAGGCAGTCTCAAAGTTTTCCCTTTCTTTTCCTTTTAAAAGTACAGATCCTTATATTTTTATTGTTTTGCCAAACATTAAATTCTTTATTATAAATATAATTAACTTCTTTCATTTAAAAAAAATTTATTCTCTTTCAAACACCTCCGTTTACTAGAAATTGTTTTATCAAACAAAATAACCAATAATCATTCATTCGAATTTTAATTAGAATCCTCAATCACTAAAAAGAACAAATAAAAAAATTATTCTTTTTAATTTGATTAATTGTAATAAGCCAACTATTAAATAAGATGATTTTTTATAATTAATACATTTCATTCTTGATTTCAATAAAATCACATGACAAAAAATTCTTTTATAAATAAGTCAACTTAACAATTTAAGAAATCCATTTTTGTTGTTATTGAGAAATTCAACAGCACATCAAAAACTAATCAAATAAAAGAATTTAATATTTTAAAACATATATTTTTTTAGAAAATATTTGGAAATTATTATTTTTATGAAATTTCTTTGAGTTAGAAAAATATATTAAAAACAATAAAATTCAATATTTTCCTTTATTCAATATGGAGAATAACCCCTTTTTTAATCTAACATTTTTAAATCCAATTTCATACAAGAGTATTATTGATTAGTATATATATGAAAAAAATAATTAATTAGTTTATGAGAAAATGAATTTTACACTTGATTCTTTTTATCTTTAATCTTTTTCATATCTTCAAAAATTTATTAACGAACTTGAAATCTAAATTAAGCATACTCAAATGAAAACTATCTATAAAATTTTCAAATTATTTAATCATTTTTTCTCATATTAAATTAGTTAGAACTGATATTTTTAATGTGTGATATAATAAATAAATTTAACTGTATAAATTATTGGCATATTAATATGGTTCATGATTTTTATTGATTCTTTTCTATTGTAGATTTATTATTAAATTTAATATAGTTATTAAATATGAATATCACTCTGTTTAGTTTGACTGCTTTTTATTAAGATCTATTATTTTTATATTAAATATATTCATTTATTTCAGTAATTTTATTTAAATTAAATATTAAAATAAATTAGTCTTATTGTAGTAATTTGTGTAATGTATGTATAAGGAATATCAAATGAAAGATTAAAAGTATAAAAAAACGAAATAAAATTAAATTTGATAAAGGAAATTGAAATATTTTATGAAACAAAAATTTTCCTCCAAAACATTTGGCTTATAACCAATATATAAAATGTATATATAAAATAATAAAAATTTTAAATATGAAAATTAAGAAGAAGAATGAATTACAGAGAGTCACAGAGTTGGGGGAGCACATATTGAAATCTTAAAATACAATGTTGGCTGCAAAAATTGATCAATTGAAGAAGGAGATTTAAAATATGAAATCTGTATACAACAACCCAATATATCTAGTTTCTAGTTACCAGAATAAGCAGAGAGAGAGCTAGTTTAATCAGAAGAACTAATTTATTATAAAAAACTGTGTAATTAACTTTCTCGAAGAATACGAATCATAATGGCCTATAATGAGGAGGCAATTCAAAAAAAAGTAGCTTAGGAAGATATCTAAGAAGAGAGATTTGAATGTCTTTGTGGTGCTAATTAGATTGATTCTATTAAATATTTACTTGTAAATGGCCATCAATAAATATTATAATAATAATAATAGTAGGAAATACAACAACAAACAGAGGAAAGTAATTAGTAAAATTAAACTTATCAAAAGTAAAAGTTACTAAAATAATTAGAGATTATATAAAAAAATTGATTTAGGAATCTTCAGAATAGAAGGCTCAATTAATACATTAGATAGAAGAATTAAAATTATAATAAAAATTACCAGAAGAATAATTCTTTTAAACTTAACTATTTGCAGAACTAGTATAATAAAATAATTATTTGACAACTACTTTATTTAACATAGAAGAATAATTGATATAAGTAATTTAATAAATAAAATTAGACTTAATTGATCAATAAAGATTAATTGGAAAAAAATCAATAATTGATATAATAATGCCAATAAGAAAGTGAATAAAAAATAAAAGATTTGTTTTCTTAATAAGATATATTAAAAATAGAAATAAAATAGAATGATGATTAGACATAAAATACTATGATTGAAGAATTGAAGTCATAAGTAGAAAATTCATCCAAAATGATAGAGGATTTAAAAATAGAATTATAATAATGTAGAGAAAGAAATAAAGAAGCACATAATTAATTAGTTGAAGTATTAAATCAGAAACAATTATTATTGAATCAAAATAATGAATTAAAATAATATATAAGTGTTCATAAAATACTATAAAAAGATGAAAAGATAGAATAAGTGACTTTAAGATATGAGAAACATAAACAATTACTTTATGAAATTGAATAAGAGTATGCAAATAAAAAATCTAATGAATTTATCTAAAGATTTAGAGAATTTGTAGGATATGTAAAGATGAGAGATGAGAAGGTTAAAGGATTGGAATAATAATTAGATGGAAAGACAAACGATTGTAATAATATTAAGAAAGTAAATTAAATAATTTAATAATATTTTAGTAAATATAATAATTAATAGATGAATTAGATTATAATTCAAATACATTTAATTCAATTAATGAAACAAATAAGAATCTAAATAAACTTATAAATGAAACCTAAAAGAATTTGAGTAGAGCGATGCAAGAAAAAGTGGATGAACGTATGAAATTTGAAACAGAAAGACAAGTATGATCAATCATTAAAAAAATAGCAATTTTAATATAAAATACAAACTTCAGATGATACTATTAAATAATTATAATCCTAGAATGAATAATAAAAAAAATTAATTAATCTATTTGAAAATGAAAGAACCAGTTATAAAGAAACAATTAGAATGTTATAAAAATCTGATGGTGAAAGTTAATAAAAATTGCTTTAAAAAGAATGGGATGTTAATAAAATATTAGAAGAAAATAAAATTATTTAAGAGAGAGAAAAATTAAGTGAATCAATTAATACTAAATTTATAAAAAAGGCAGAAAAATCAAAGAGCAAATTAAAATATTTGAAGCTTTAAATGAAATTGTAATTTTGTTTATTAATTATAAGAGAGTCTAAAGATAATGATAATGAATTATTAACATCTTTAAAAATGATGGTTGATTGCTAATAATGTAAAAAAAGAGTAAAATAAGTTATTTTAATGAAATGCTTACATATGTTTTGTAAACCTTGTATAGATGATAACTAAAAAAATCGAAATAGAGCCTGTCCAGTGTGCAGAGCTAAATATGGAATTGAAGAGGTAAAAGCGATAATATTAAATTGAGAAATATTATATGTCATAAATCATTAAAAATTAATAATTATTATTTATCTTTTTTACATCATTATTTTTTATTGTTTAATTTAAGACTAAATTAATTCTTTTAATTTTTACTATTAACCTTATATGAGATTTAGAATATTAATTATGAATAAATAAGAAATATATCTATATTTTAAGGATATATATATTTTAAATTAATTAATTATATTATTTCTAGATATTTAAATTGTTGAACGATTTTTATAATATCAAATTAAAGTATTTAAAAAAAAATATATTTATTTTCTAAGTATTTATTTAATTTAATGAAAAATATGGCTAAAAAGATAAAATAGCATATTAATTTTTTATTGAATATAATTTTGGTGGTTGGAAAATAAAAAATAAAAAAAAATAAATAAAAAGATCATAATGAATTTTAATGTTTTATCAGATTATTAATAAAAATATCAATATGAAATTAAGGATAAGTTATCCATGTATATCTTTGACATCAATTTTAACACTTAAATCAGGAATGACTTCTATGCCTTGTTCACATTTATACTGATATTAATTCCAGTGACATTCATAATTTAATGATTCACAATCTTATTACAATATCAATTATTTACAAGACTTTCTACAAACCTTATCTTATGAACTCCAGTAACATTTATTACTAGCTAAGCATTATGCTTCAGACAAAAAGGATTAACATAAAATAGAGTTGCACTTTCCATTTGAATAAATACAAGCTCCATTGCTATTTGTACATGTACATTAATCTAAAATTTCCTCACAGATTCTACATTATAAAAATTAATCCATATAACATGAATATCCATTTATTTCATTACCATTACATAAAGTTGGGGATGCATTGTATAAATGGCAAAATGTATTTGTACAATGATAAGTATTTTCATAGACTCCATACATTTCCCATGAACATTTGAATTTATTTATAGTAGTCTATACACAAATTGAAAAATCAGTGATTGTTGAACAAGTTGAAATTTCTTAACATCTATCATCCATATATATGCAATTAGAAAAATTGTAACAGTCTACTTCAGTTCTATCTGAACAATCTAGAGGTCGACATTAAAAATTATCTTATTTACAAGCAGTATTAGAACAATCACTATTGGGACATAATTCTATAAGATTTGTTGCACTAATACAATTATTGAGAATTTAAACACAATTTGATGAATTAAATACATAATCCTTGCAATTTGATAAATTATTTAAATTAATTATATCTTCGCATGATGAAGCATTCTAACATTATTATTAAGCATCTTTGTAACATCTTTTACCATTAATTGAACCTGAACAATCTGTTTAATCATTGCAATTTCTTAATCTACAACTATAAATATCATAATCATAAATGCAATTTGAATTAGATTTGCAATTACTTTCATTCAATTGACATTATGCATTAGTAATTTATGTAGAACAAACACATTATGTAATATCATATGACCATTTGCAATTTGATTAATGAAGACAATTATTTTAATTCAAACCATAATAATTGCAAGGTAATTATGATAATGTAAAATAACAATTATTTGAGATTTAATCATAAGCACAACTATCCTATGTATTCATCTTGCATGCCATTTCATTAACATTTGTTAAATCCAAACAACTTTTCTTAAGATTAATTATTTTTTAACATTTGTTATCAACATATTAACATGGCTCTAAAATTGTAGAAACACATGCCCTTCTATTTAATCCAGGATAAGAACATTTAAAATATTTATTATACTTTTCTTGACATGTTCTATTTTCTACATTATAAGAACAGACATTCTGATGATAGTTCAATAATGAACAGCTTAAACTATTGAGTTTTGTGAAATTATCACATTAATTTATACTCTTATTTACATTAAAAACTTAGCAACTATCAGAAACACTATCCCATTAACATGCTTATGTTTAAATATTTGTACAACCAATAAGGGATAAACCAAAAGTATAACAAGTATCTGAATTGATATTGATATTTTTGCATGAATTGGTTTTGGTATCATATTTACAACTTAAATGAGGTAACATTTAACAAACCATTTAGGTGACATCTTTATAATCAGAACAATTCAATTTATTTACAAATTCAAAATTTGAACATTTGTTATTTTAATATATACATTAAGATTTAGTTAATTGTAAACATGCCTAATCATATTATTTAAATTTATACATATTTTGATAAGCCTTTGGAATTACAATTATCTATTTTGGGATCTAAAGGTATACAAGATGATAAATTTGAATCATATTTGATAGCCATATTAACAGTTGTACAAAAAATTTCAGTCACTAAGGTCAATTATGTTTAAGTAGCATTTTCATCTGCATACCAATCAACACATTAATCATTTCTCCAAGCACAGAATAAATTAATAATCGCTAAGCATTATTTCATACTTTTATCAGCACAAATAGCATTATTACATTAATCATTATTAAAGCAATTTATACATGTATGATTTTGCCAAGAACAGTAACCTATTCTACTACCAATACAATCTTCTTTTTGCTGAAATTAGGTACATTCATAGATTAATCTAATTTAAACGAAATCATTTTGATCAGTTTCCATAGAGTTTGTAAATTCACTAGTTAATTTAATATCACAACGTTTAGTAATTTCATCATATTTACAGGGTTATTTAGAATATTTATAGCATGATACTTTATTAAACTAAAAATAATGTTTATAAATATTACTTCAGATGGGATATCTTAACAAGATACAGGTTCAAATTCTTTACCTATATTTTCACATTTACCATTCCATTTACAATACATAGATGTATTTAAGCAACCCCATTAATTAATAATATTTTCACATGAGTATTTACTTCTATACCATTTCTAACATGTGTTATTAACCCAAGAACAAAATTAATTAATTACTTTTTGACATGCTGAATAACTTAAGGTGTCAGAACAAGATTAATCGACTTCAATTAATTAATCGCAAGTATTAGTTCCAAGATTGAATGAACATGATACTTTAGCTTATTTACAATATGTTAATGTATTATAATCATGACAATTTTAAGAACCAATCTTATTTACACATTATCCATCATGCCATTTACAAATTTAATTATATGTTAAAATTTATTCACATGTATTAAATGAAACATCATCTATACAATTTATCTATTTTAAAATAGCTTCTTTACAAGTGAAACCATCCCAAAAACATGTTAATTCAGATGTATTTTCTAGACAAAGACTTCGAGATAATCCTAAATTTTCACATCTTAAAAATGATATTGGTAAGTTTGTAGAATAATCAAAACAAGTCATACCATTCCATAATTAAGATATTGATTAACAATAACTTTAACTATATTCACAATTAGTATAAGTTCCATCTTCACATTTATTATCTAAATTATCACTAAGATCACATTATTTATTGTCTCCTATCCAAATGCAAGTAGATTTAATAGATATTAAACAAGATTATCTATTTTTAAATTCACAATCAATCTCATCAAATGATCTTTTATATTCTTAGCATTTACCATTAAACCATACACATTTCATGTCATTCATTATTTCAATACAAGACTTTTGATTTAATTGATTACATATATAAATATCATCATATTTTGATGATGAATAACTTAAACAATTCTATGAATTTAAATCAAAATAATATAGATTAGTAGTCAAAGATATACAACCAAAGTAATTCAAATTAATATCATAAGTATCATCTAATGATTAATCACATTATTAAAATAAATCATCTTAATCTAAAACAATTAAGCAACTCTCTTCCACAAATGTACATTAATATAACTCAGTGTATTAAGTACATTCACTAATTTCAATAGTGTTTCTTAATTTACATCTATTTGTGGATTCTTGATAATAACATTCTTCTGTGTTTAATTCATTTTACATAATTGATAAACATAATTAACGATTAACTTAATAATTAGTAACAGATGAACATGTTAAATCTCCTGTATAAGTATAACAAATTTCATTGTCTAAATAACAATTTATTCCTGGAATATCTTTGACACAAAAAGGTGTTAATGATTCACATTACAAAGGAATTTAATGACAGAATAGTTCTCCTATTACAGTCATCTTAAAACTACAATTATCTATTGATTCACATGCTAAATAAGATCTAACTTATATTTAATCAAAATATTCACATGTATCTAATTGGTAAGATTGAATATCTTAACATGTTTTAAACCATATATAATCCATAAATTAACATTTCATGGCTCTTTATAATGCACAGCCATATTGAGTTTAAGTTAGACTTGAACATTAATTTTCAGAAAACTCTTCATCTATCATATCACTTTTAGAATTATAATTAACCATCTAACAAGTATTGTCTTTGTAAATACATAATGGATAATAATGCCAACAAAAGTTAAGTGTTGTGTATTCAAAATCGTTGCAATCATAATTTTAGAAATTATTTATTTCATAACATTTACCTTTATCATAAATGCAACTTTTAGATTTATGTTAAATACATTCTTATAGAGTTTAAGAATCTTCACAATCATAATCTTTATCTGTACATTTATTATCTATCCATTAACAATAACCAGGTTAAGACATACATAAATCATATCTTAAAGATAACCAACATGGAACTGTTATTTATTCACTAGAACAACCTTTTCTACCTGCAAAACATGTACCGCTACTAANTATCACTAAGATCACATTATTTATTGTCTCCTATCCAAATGCAAGTAGATTTAATAGATATTAAACAAGATTATCTATTTTTAAATTCACAATCAATCTCATCAAATGATCTTTTATATTCTTAGCATTTACCATTAAACCATACACATTTCATGTCATTCATTATTTCAATACAAGACTTTTGATTTAATTGATTACATATATAAATATCATCATATTTTGATGATGAATAACTTAAACAATTCTATGAATTTAAATCAAAATAATATAGATTAGTAGTCAAAGATATACAACCAAAGTAATTCAAATTAATATCATAAGTATCATCTAATGATTAATCACATTATTAAAATAAATCATCTTAATCTAAAACAATTAAGCAACTCTCTTCCACAAATGTACATTAATATAACTCAGTGTATTAAGTACATTCACTAATTTCAATAGTGTTTCTTAATTTACATCTATTTGTGGATTCTTGATAATAACATTCTTCTGTGTTTAATTCATTTTACATAATTGATAAACATAATTAACGATTAACTTAATAATTAGTAACAGATGAACATGTTAAATCTCCTGTATAAGTATAACAAATTTCATTGTCTAAATAACAATTTATTCCTGGAATATCTTTGACACAAAAAGGTGTTAATGATTCACATTACAAAGGAATTTAATGACAGAATAGTTCTCCTATTACAGTCATCTTAAAACTACAATTATCTATTGATTCACATGCTAAATAAGATCTAACTTATATTTAATCAAAATATTCACATGTATCTAATTGGTAAGATTGAATATCTTAACATGTTTTAAACCATATATAATCCATAAATTAACATTTCATGGCTCTTTATAATGCACAGCCATATTGAGTTTAAGTTAGACTTGAACATTAATTTTCAGAAAACTCTTCATCTATCATATCACTTTTAGAATTATAATTAACCATCTAACAAGTATTGTCTTTGTAAATACATAATGGATAATAATGCCAACAAAAGTTAAGTGTTGTGTATTCAAAATCGTTGCAATCATAATTTTAGAAATTATTTATTTCATAACATTTACCTTTATCATAAATGCAACTTTTAGATTTATGTTAAATACATTCTTATAGAGTTTAAGAATCTTCACAATCATAATCTTTATCTGTACATTTATTATCTATCCATTAACAATAACCAGGTTAAGACATACATAAATCATATCTTAAAGATAACCAACATGGAACTGTTATTTATTCACTAGAACAACCTTTTCTACCTGCAAAACATGTACCGCTACTAATTCCACAAACTTTCCAAGATTTTACTTACTCATAAGATGATGGACATAATTCTGTTGATAATTTACAAAATTTAGCTTATTCATCCCATATACAATTTAAATCACCAAATGTACATCCCATTCTATTTCTAAAATCACAAGAAATAGATAAATCAGTTAATTTAGAACACTTATTATTGTAAAACACACAAGGTCCTCTTGTTTATAATAAACATAATATTTAAGATGCTCCAATTTAATCACAATCAAAAACATCATCAATTTCAGGAGTTTAACATTAATTAGTTGTTTTATCATAATAACATGCATCTGTACTACGGGTACATAATTAAGGATTATAAATACTCATATCATATGTACTCAAAGTTGAACATGAATCTCCAAAAGATGTATAAATTGATATACATTTACGTGGGTTTTATTTATAACATACTTAACCAGGAGTAGTTATTTTATTACAAATTTACATATTACTATCTTTGCATAGAAGTTAATTTAAAAAGATATTTTAGTATTCTTGAGGACCATTTAAAATTGTACACTTTTAATTGTAGAAATAACATTATTCTGTTGTGTATCCCATGCATCTATAGACATTGATTTATCTTGTATAACCACAATCAGTATCGGTAATATCAGTTATTTAGGAGGTGCAAACAGAATCAACAACTTCGCAGTATTATTGATCTGAAAGATTGAGTGCAATATTAGTAGTTAAATTAACACATATATTAACATTTGAATTATCTTGGAATGTATTACAATTTGAATAAAAACCTTATTAATGATTTCTACATTTGATAGTTTAATCACTATTGATTGATCCCCAAAAACAATATTATCCAGGTTTTGTTATTGATAAACAAGTAGATTGACTAATATATTCAGTATTACAGTTAAATGAATTAAAAAAAGGAGTAGAATCTTGACATTAATTAATTACATTATTATAATAACAATTGGCAGATGATAATCTACAAGCATATCTATTAGCATATTGATTGCAATCATTAATATTATTATATACAACAATACAACTTTTAGAATCATTATCATATTAGCATTGATCCTAAAAATTAATTGATTATCTACAAACACTTGGACTTACTCTTTATAATTCATAGCAGTTATAATAAATAATTTTAGAAGGTTATAAATAAATACATTAATTATCAACCCAAGCACAATATTCATTTTAGATACTCAAACATTAAGTTTAATTAATGCCTTTTGTATCACAATGTAAAAGTGAAGCATCAGTTGAAAAACAACTAAAACTATTTGAATCATAAAGACATAATTTATTATTTGATACAATTGCCTCTTTACATAAATTAGGATTAACTAATTTCATAAGATCACAAGCAATTTATGTATTTGTCACATGTAAACATTTTTATTTAAAATAATCCCATCTTGTATTCGAATTAATTAAATTAAGACAATATTCTTTATTAATTCTATCATTTCCTTAATAATTGCATTCAAAATCATTTACTTAATAATTTGGATCTACAAAATCAATACAAGGTGAATATAAATTAATATCTGAACTTTCACAATTTTAAGTATTAAAATTATATTTATAGTATTTCCCTGATTATGATATACATAAATTATAATTCATAAATGTAGATTCAGGAAACGCTAAAAAATGTGAAAATAATTATTGATCTTTAACATTCAAACATGTATTTTAATGCCATACACAAAATTAATCATACATAGTAATTGAAGTACAACAAAATATTGTATTACAATTATTGCATTTCATCTATTCAATATTTTTAATTGTTTTGCATCTTCCAACATTAGAATCCCAATAACAAGTAGTTGCCATTTTTACACAATAAAATAAATTCAATCCTAATTAATCACATTTATTAGAAGGTGAACATACTATAAATGAAGACTATTCGGAAAATTCTAAATCAAACTTATTACTAGTTAACCATACACATTTAGTATTATTAATACAATCTTATTTTGTTTAATATTAGAAACAAGTATTACTACATTCTGCTTTTGTTGATGTTAAATCTAAATAACATGCCCTATCTTAAACTTAAGCACAATCAAAATGTGTTGCTAAACTTATTTTAGAATCACATGATTCTTAAACTGTTATTGTTTCAATATTATAACATTAAAATTCTTTTGAATAATTAATTTAACATTTCTAATTTATATTATAATATCTTTAACAAACTATACCGCTCATACTTTAACATGCAATTTAATTCTTATCTATATATGTTTAATCTTATAAATCTTTATCTACTATTGTTTAACATTCATTATTTACAAAAACTGTCCAAACTGGATTTAAAGGATGATTATTCAAATATTTACAATAAATATGATTAACTCCTCTGATGTTACCACTCAAACTAAAAAGTGTTAGAAATCTATTCTCATTTAAAATCTCTTATGCAATGCATCCATATCTTGAATAATCATTTATTTTAACTATAATTATTATTATATTAATTTATACGATTTGTTATGCTTAATTATGTTGCCTATGTATACCATTTATAATCACCATTATTATCGACATAATTATCTCCCATCTTTTAATCCTCATATGTTCTACTTGTATCTACTTCTATTCCAGCCTCCACCTTCACTAAATTCTATGCTTCTGTAAATAAATCAGGTTTATATTATAATAAATCCCATAAAAGAGTACTATGAATAATTAAATATCCTGATATTCTACTACATACTGAAACACTTAGTTCCAAATCCTAAAATATTTAATTTATATTGTTCTCTTCATCATGACTCAATCTCAAACATTAACCTTTCTCCCATTTACAAAGTTCATTTGGATTTGTTATCGACAAACAACCTGATTTTGATAATTTATCACTGCATCTTGTTTCATATTTCTCATATATTGTATGACAAACTTTATCGAATATACATTCAGATATTGTTCCATCCAAATTACCAAATTATTTTACACAAAGCTTCTAACTCAAATTAGGATCACATCCCATTAAATAATTATTAGACTTTACACAATACTAACCTTTCCATTCACATTATTAATCTCTTAAATTTATACATCCATTATATGTTGTTTATTATACACATACATCTAGACCCTTCACCAAAATTAAACATATCACTATTATGAGTAATTTCATTATTTAAATATATTATTATTATTTTTATCTATAATCCATACTATGATACTATAATTTTTAGTTTCTCTAAATTTTTTAAATAATCATTTTAACACACAATTTCTCAACATAATTAACAAAATCATCATTTTTTTTAATTATATTAGCAAATTATTAAATTCATAATTGCTTTGCTATTTACTAACTATTGCATCAATATTTTATCTACTTTTCTAAAGTATTGAATAAAAATAATTAAGATTTTTTTCAATATATTATGATCAGTTCAATTCTTTACCCTTTTCTACATTCTTATATTTATCATTATATTAAAAATTACATAAATAAAAATCAAAATAAGACCTATTGTTTATAAATTTTATGTTTATTTATAAATCTAATTCAACTCAATTTCATTTTATTTATATAATATTTTATTTATACAAAATAGATTAACTAATTGTAAATGTAATTTATTTATGAATCAAAAAAAAAAGTATAGTTAATTATTTCTGAAACGGATTCTTAATAAAAATAAAATGAAAATTTTTGTAATTTTAATAATAATAAAACTTGTTTTAGCAAGTACTCATTTACCCTCTTTCTATCATACTACAGATGATATTGAAAAAGAAGTAAAGAATATCTTAAAAAATTGCTAAATGAAGGCTACTTAAAAGAAATATGGAATTATTAATTCTATAACCTTAAAGCCAAAAATAGAAAATGAAAATAAGAATAAGGCTTTTATAATTTTTGGAGAACATGCAAGAGAGTTAATAAGTGTTGAAACTGGATTTCACTTTCTCTAATAAATATGCAAAGTTGGTGTAGATTTCAAATTAAAAATTATCATTAATATGAATCCTAATTCAAGAAGGTATGTGGAAAAAGGATACTTTTGTTTAAGAGAAAATCTTAATGGAGTTGATTTAAATAGAAATTATGGTTTTGAATGGAAATTTAAGGAAAATCATTTTGTTTAAGATTCTTCTGGTCCTGAACCATTTTCAGAGATTGAAACATAAACTGTTAGAGATATTCTCACTTAATTCAAACCTAGAACATTTATAACAGTGCATTCAGGTACTTTAGCAATTTTGCATCCTTGGGCTTATAAGAAAGAAGACATTGTTATTTCTCACAATAATTTTAGAGGAGTCAAGAATAATTGCGTTGATTGTTTATTAGGAGGAGCAGCTACTCAAATAGGATATACTGCTTCAGGCAATTCTATGGATTATGCTTATGGAGTAGCAAAAGTTAAAAGATCTTACACACTTGAAATATTTTAATTAGAAAAATAAAATTAAAGAAAGGAACCTGATAGTAATTTTGCTGAATTCTTGTAACATAAAGAGAAAACACAGTTAAGTAATAAAGAATTATTTTGTTTTGATTATTTTAATCCTAGAAGTGAAGAATAATATAATGAATTAGTTTCCAAATGGTCTGATATCATTTTATAATTGATTAAATGATCTATCATATAAATTAGATTATGAAAGATTTATTAAAAATTTAGAAAACACTTAATGTATATTTTTAAACATTTTTGTATATTTAACTCACTATAATATTTATAAAAGTTTATAATTAGTAAATATATTATGTATGAATAAAAAATTACAATTAATCACTTTTCAAAATTACACTCTAATAAACTATCTTAAAGTTTTTCAAAAGAAATTAGGCTTAGAAAATACAGAGATCTCACCTTCGATCAATTAACCAAATGGAAAATTAGAATAGTTTGGTGACGACATTCAGGTATATTCACAATATGATTCTTCAAATTTGCTTTTTGTAACAGCTGATCAAGATTGCATAAATATTTTATTAAATAGTGACTCAAACACTAATGGATGCACTTAATGGTTTAATTTCTAGATTAAATCATTAAAAGTTGGATTAACCATAAAATTTAAAATATTAAATAATAGAAGAAGTAAGTAATTATTAACTTCCTGTAATTTTTATACTTCCAAAAATGCATGTTTTGATGTTCACTATTATAAAACAAATATAAATCATCCATTTTATGCAAATGAGGATGCAAGCATTGCTTAATATTAAAAATAAATATAATTTTATACTTTAGAGTTTAAATATACATTTTAAGACCAAGAATTTATCACATTTGCATATGCTGAACCATATCCATTAAATAGAGTTCTTTAATTGAAGGATTATACAGTAATAGGATATACACAATTAAATAATCCAATCATAAGAATTAAAAGAGGAAAAGCTAAGAAATATGTTGTAATTCTTGCAAGATAGCATCCATGCGAAACCAGTGGATCATTCATAGCAGAAGAATTGATAAAAATAATTAATTCTACATAATATAGATACATAATATATCCAATGATAAATCCAGATGGAGTTTTTCTTGGGAATAGCAGATGTAATAAAAATGGTATTGACTTAAATAGAAAATGGATTAATCCATCTCAATAAGAAGAACCAGAATTATATTATATTAAATAGTCTTTGACAAAATATTAATAAAGAATAAAATTTATGATTGATTTGCATGGTCATTCTACTAAATAAAATTACTTTATTTATGGATGTTCTAATAATTCAAATTGTAATTCAAAAATCAAAAATTTTGTAAAACAATTTATGAATTGCAAACATTTTAGTTTAAAAGATTGTTCTTTTGCTACCTAAATTAGTCGAAAATGTACAGCTAGATAAACATTTTGGTCAGAATTTAATATTTAATATTCTATGACAATAGAAATTAGTCTTTTTGGATCAAAATAAGGATAATTAAAAGGAAGGTTTAGTAGTTTAGAATATTCAGAGATTGCTTTATAAATATATAATTCAATTGAATAATTTTATGAAGACAATATTGATTTGATAAAATTACCTTAAATTGAGTGTTTAAATGAAAGTTATGAATCAGAAAGTGAATATGAATAAGATATTGTGAATGTGGGTATTGTACAAAAGTAATAATAAAAATATAGAAGTGTTGAGAAATAAAATTAAAAATCTTAAAATGTTAAGAAGGAGGAAGATGTTGTTTAATAAAAATAATAAATATTACCTAAGATAAGAATATCAAAGGTAATGAGTAAATCAGAACATAGAGCCTCATCTATTTTTGAAATAGATAATTCGTTTGTTTTTAGATTAGAATAATATTAAAATAATTTTAATGTAATAAAGTATTTTCCATAAAGGAATGTCTATCCAAAAAGAATGAGTTGTATAAATAAAAATTAAAATAAGAGTGCAACAATAGATATAGAATAGTTGAAAAAATGTTTAATATTATGAACTAATATTTAATTAAAATCTTAAAAAATTAAATAAATAATTAATTGAACTAATATTTTAATCCATAAATAATAAACAATATAATAATAAAAAATTAATAATTTTATATTTTTAAGTATTTCAATTCATCTTTTAGGTTTGTGATAAATTAATTTAGATTTGCGACAATCCAAACAATACCAATTTTTTTCAGGAATAAAAAACTCTAGAAAACCTGGATCACAGAATGTATGGCACATTTAATCATTGCATTTATCACAAATTAACATTAAATACTATGAGTGGGAACATCCACAAAGTTGACACTTTTAATTTTCTTCTTGTTCATCCTAGAAATTATAAAATTGATCTTGTTCTGGCTACCATTTAGGTTTATTAAGATTTAACTTGATTGGAGTTCTTTTTCTTTTTCCATTTTCTATTGGATAAATTCTTTTGAATTTAGCTCTACAATAAGGACATTAAGTCTTGTATTTTTCAGCCCACTCTTTTATACAGGTTAAACATATTTAATGTTAACAAACATCAATTTCACAAACATTTTATAAATCATCTAAGTTTGTCATACATATAGGACATTCTTCTTATAATTATTATTTTAGTCGATTTTTTTTAAGTTACTCCTTAGATTGATTAGTTTGTTGCTGATTGACTTATGGTATGTTCTAATAATTAAAAGATGATATAATAAAAGATCTTACTTCTTTATTTGAAATAAAATTTTTGATATCAGGAGAGTCTTATATTATTTTTTTTCTTCTAAACTTTAAATTCTTATCTTGGCGTTCCATCCAACGTTGTTCATAGGCATCTAAAATATGTTAATATTGCATTTTTCTATATTTTTGCTTCGAACTAAAAAAAATTTAATTTTATTCAATTATAATTAAAAATGGCAAATGCATTAGCAAATGATGCTTTGATATAATAAGAAATTGATTAATAAGTAATTTAAAATCCAAAGCTATCATTTGCTTAAAAGAAGTTATTAAGAAAATCAATTCTAAAAGCTAGTGTAGCAAATGCTCCTAAGAATAGTTCATTTTAAACAATATTAAGTGTTAGCAACACAATGGTTGGATCATCATTATTAGTAATACCAGTATTATTTTAATAATCTGGAATTTTGAGTGCATTAATAGTTGCATTAATATTTGGTTTAATATCATGTAAGACTTGTTCACTATTGATGGTTCATAATAAACTTGAGGAATTAGATTTACCTCAAACTATAATGAGAATACTTGGTTAAAAGTATAATTTAATTTTTAATANAATAATTTTATATTTTTAAGTATTTCAATTCATCTTTTAGGTTTGTGATAAATTAATTTAGATTTGCGACAATCCAAACAATACCAATTTTTTTCAGGAATAAAAAACTCTAGAAAACCTGGATCACAGAATGTATGGCACATTTAATCATTGCATTTATCACAAATTAACATTAAATACTATGAGTGGGAACATCCACAAAGTTGACACTTTTAATTTTCTTCTTGTTCATCCTAGAAATTATAAAATTGATCTTGTTCTGGCTACCATTTAGGTTTATTAAGATTTAACTTGATTGGAGTTCTTTTTCTTTTTCCATTTTCTATTGGATAAATTCTTTTGAATTTAGCTCTACAATAAGGACATTAAGTCTTGTATTTTTCAGCCCACTCTTTTATACAGGTTAAACATATTTAATGTTAACAAACATCAATTTCACAAACATTTTATAAATCATCTAAGTTTGTCATACATATAGGACATTCTTCTTATAATTATTATTTTAGTCGATTTTTTTTAAGTTACTCCTTAGATTGATTAGTTTGTTGCTGATTGACTTATGGTATGTTCTAATAATTAAAAGATGATATAATAAAAGATCTTACTTCTTTATTTGAAATAAAATTTTTGATATCAGGAGAGTCTTATATTATTTTTTTTCTTCTAAACTTTAAATTCTTATCTTGGCGTTCCATCCAACGTTGTTCATAGGCATCTAAAATATGTTAATATTGCATTTTTCTATATTTTTGCTTCGAACTAAAAAAAATTTAATTTTATTCAATTATAATTAAAAATGGCAAATGCATTAGCAAATGATGCTTTGATATAATAAGAAATTGATTAATAAGTAATTTAAAATCCAAAGCTATCATTTGCTTAAAAGAAGTTATTAAGAAAATCAATTCTAAAAGCTAGTGTAGCAAATGCTCCTAAGAATAGTTCATTTTAAACAATATTAAGTGTTAGCAACACAATGGTTGGATCATCATTATTAGTAATACCAGTATTATTTTAATAATCTGGAATTTTGAGTGCATTAATAGTTGCATTAATATTTGGTTTAATATCATGTAAGACTTGTTCACTATTGATGGTTCATAATAAACTTGAGGAATTAGATTTACCTCAAACTATAATGAGAATACTTGGTTAAAAGTATAATTTAATTTTTAATATTACGAATATCATAATTTTATACTTTGCTGGTGTAGTATATTTTATTTTAATATGCAATATGTTATACTCACTCTTACAGTTAGTATGTAATTAATTAGAAATGAATTATGCTTCTAAAACTGATATAGTTTTGAGTTAATTATCATATTAATGGTGTGGAATTGTTTATATGTTTTTGTTATACTTGATTATGTTATAGAAGAATTTATCTTTGATTATAAAATTGGTTCAATATGGAGTTATATCAGTTATAGCTTTGATATTATATATCATAACAAATGGAAGTATTAATATGTAATAGATTTTAAACGCCAATTTATTCACATTAGATGTGGTAACCTTATGTGGTGTATTTTCAGTGGCATTTATGGTACATTCTTGTATAGTTCCAATAATGAAAAATAATTTGGAATAGTAGAATAATTTGAGAGATATAGCAATTAGTTTTGGATGGACTTGGATAATTTATGCTTTGGTTGGTATATTTGGAGCAATTGCTATATAAGGAAAGATAGTAAATCCTTCAGGTGATGGTTCTACTGTATTAGATTATTTAGAATAGAATTTATTTTCTTATGGGATTCAAGTATTATAATTACTTTAGTTAACAACAGTATTTCCATTACTATCATTTATAACAAGATCTTAATTTTTTACTTTGATATATAAATTAGAATAACCTCCTTAAAAATGGTTTATTATATATACAACTGGAGTGGCATTAAGTACTTTGTTATTTCAATGTTTTAACATTAGTGTATCTTTAATTTTAAGTCTATCAGGAGCTGTGATTGGATTCTTCTAGATCTATTTGATTCCAATTCAACTTCATTTAACTTGTCTTTATGCAAAATAGAAAATAAATGATAATAGAGCGGGATTAATCAATGATACAATTTAATATCTAGAGAATCCAGATGTATCAATATTTGATGAATAAGATTAAAAATGTATAGATCATTCAAATCTTAAAAAAAGATATAATAAATAAATTAGATTTACTTTATATAATTTGATAATGTTCTTTGGAGCAATAATGGGATTTCTAAATATAGTTACTCCATTCTTGAAATGAATATTAATAGTAGTATTTATTTAAATTAATAAAATGTATAAGGTATTACAATATTATTATTATGAAATAATCAATCAGCATCTTCCCAATCTTTTTCATTCATTTCTAATTCTCTAAGATCAACTTCTATAATATCTTCCTCTTCTTATTATTCCTTTTATTCTTTTTACATATCTTTCTAAGATTCTTTTTAATCAATTTTAATAGGTTTCTTCTTCTTTTTTTATCCTTTAGCCATAAATTTATTGGCAACAGTCTCATCCATTTCTTACTCTCCAAATAATAATTCAAAAACCTAATTAAAATGAAATTATATATACTTCTTAAGGTTTAAATTTATCTCCTTAAAATCCTCCAGAATATACTGTTGATTGAACATTCTATTTTTATTATGCTCTCTTAACAATCCTCTCTTCAATTGTTCCTTTAGTAATCAATCTATAAACATAAACATCTTTTGTTCTTCCTATTCTATGTGCTCTATCAGTTGCTTAAGCATCCATTGTTGGATTCCAATCATTATCATAAAATATCACAGCATCAGCTTAAGTTAATGTAATCCCTAAACCGCCAGCTCTTGTAGACAATAGAAATGCAAAAATCTTATCATTTTGTTAAAATTCATTAACCATCTAATTAATATATTCTAATTATATTTTACATCTCTTCTATCATTTATTTAACATTATCCATCCATTCTAAAATATGTATATCCTTTATGTAACATGTATTCTTCCAATATATCTAACATTCTTGTCATCTAACAAAATATCAATACTCTCCATTATTTCTACTTTAATTCTTTTAATAATGTATCTAATTTTAATAACTTTGAGGATGATGCAATTAATGATTCAGGACTATTTGGTAATATACAACAACCTCCAGATTCCTATAAGTATGAAAGTGCCTATCTATTATACAAACTATCTTAAATTTTTTAATAAAAAGATTGAGATCTGCACTCAAATGATATTATTTAACTCTAAGCTTAAGGAATATAAAATTCAAATTATTTTGAATAAGAATAATTCACTAAAATTTAAGATGAATCTTTCCTCTCACATAATAATTCAATTATATCAAATACATTCTTCTCAAATAAACCTAAAGGCATGTGTTTCCATTACATATATGCAAATGTAGACTCACCATTCTTTAATGATGTATAAATATAATGTGCTGTAAATAAACATCTCATATTTTCAATTAAATTATCATATACTAATTTAGGTATTATAAAATTTATAGGATTTCTTTTAGTCACTTATACTATTGGGTTTTTCTAATATACCTCAACATTTTATTTATCCTAAAAAACATAAGGACTTTTATAAGGCTTTCTTTCAAATAATTCAGGATGATTACATATCTTACGAAATTACATTACTAAATTCATCAAATTATCAACCTTTTATTTTGAATCTAACATTCTAAAAAATTCTTTTATTGATAATTTTGATTTCACATTCTTATATAATACAGCCTACCTACTAGTCATCTCACAAACTATCTAAATTTCTTTCTTCTATCCAATCTCATTTTCAACATCCTTTTTCAATCTCCTTAACATAAAAGGTTTCAATATTGCATGCAATCTCTATAATTAATGTTAATTTAATGTCTTTTGATCTTAAGAATGAGCTTCAATATCTTTTGAAAACCATTCTTAAAATTAATCAAAACTATCAAAAAATCTTGGCATTATGAAATGCAATAATGCCCATAATTCTCCCATCGTATTTTATATAGGAGTTCCCGTCAATAATAATCTATTTCTTGCATTAAATGATAATAAAATCTACCATCTCTAAGAATTTATATTCTTTATTGCTTAAGCTTCATCTAATATCATATATTACCATCTTACTCTATTGAAAATTTTATTATCTGATACTACTAAATTATAAGATGTAACTACAATATGAAATAAAGATTCTCTTGAACCAAAGTTTTTCTATTAAAAATATTTTCTTATAGTTTTTCTTTGTTATGCTTAACCCCAATATGGTAATACTTTTAAAGTTGGACAAAATTTTTTAATTTCCTATTACCAATTATGTAAAGTTGACGATGGAGCTATTACTAAAAAAGGACCCCATATTTATTTAAATGAACTTATATGTGATAATAATGCTATTGCTTAAATAGTCTTACCTAATCCCATTTCATCTGCCAATATCCCATTTATACCTTAATCATATAAATTATCTAACCATCTAAGACCTTTTAATTAATATTCCTTCAAATCTCCTTTAAAAGTTGATGGAGGAGCTATCAATGAAAAATCTCTATCCTAATCATTATGATCTAATTTTAATTCTTAAAGCTAAACATTCTCTTATTTCTTTCCGTCAAATTATTATAATTATTTTCTATTATCATTTATTACTTTCTAAACATTTTCCAATGCTTTTTCTTCATCAATCTCATCATTATTCAATGAAATTTGATTATCCAATGTTATTCCAAGTTTCTTAGCCATAAAATGTGCATAAATATCTGATTATTTCATTAAAAATTCCAATCTTTTTTATTATAATAATTATTCTCTTTCCTCTTCTTCCTTCTTCTTCCTCTCCTATTCTAATTTCTCTTTTCTTTTCTTAATTTCTATCAATTCCTTATCTCTTTTTCTCCAATATGATTGAGCCTCTTTTGATAATTTCTTTGCTCTTAACATAAATTCTTTTTAATATTTTTAACATTTTTAATTTCTTCTTCTTGCTTCCTTTGCTGCAAAATATGCAATTCTTTTAAAAAATTCTCTTAAATCTTATCTGAATTTTGCTTTGAATCTACTTATTTTTACTGCATTTCTCACTACTATAGCCCAACTTTTCTTCCAATCTCCTATTTCTATAGGATCTTCATATAATTCCTATTAGATAATTGTATTAAAATAATCATTCTAAGATGATGTCTAGCAATCATTTTTAAGCTAATATTTTTATAATTTTTTACCTTTCTTTACTTTTTTATAATTGATTTTCCTATTTTCGAATACTAAATCTTGAATGCATCTTCAAAATTATACCCAAGTTAAGGCAATTTATTTGAATGAAAAGTAGGCTCAAATTATTATGATGTCTAAATTAATGTTAATTATATACTATTCCTATATGTATTTACTATTCTAATATTGTTTCTTATTTGTGGCTGTATTTATCATACAAAAAATTTTCGACCATGTTTGGTTGATCTCTGAATGCTTTAGAAAAGAACATTAGTAATTTATTTTATATTTTGCTTTGATTGTTAGCTGAATAGACATATTTCTTTTCTTTTACTTCAAAATTCTTGCTCTAGAATACTAATTTTATTATAATGAGACAACTTACCTTTTTACCTCTTGTTTTCTAAATAGCATAGTCGAGCCTCCTCTAATGATAAGTCTTCTACTGGAGGGCGTTTGAGATTAAAAACAAGATTAATTTCTGGTTCTTAGACTTTTCTGAATTGTGGATTGACTTATCGAGTGTTCTCAATCTTAAGGATAAAATAAATAATACTTATGTAATCTAATGAAGAAGTTAATCAATATTGTATTGTTTATCTTCTTCTTCTTCTGAACTCATATAAAAATTTAATAAAGATTTTTGTTTATTTAAGGGTTATTGGACGAGTTCATTAATTTTTATTTTTAAAAATGTATATATATATTATCTTAATACACATAGTAATCTGTATGAAGAATCGTTGAGCAGAAGACAAGTGATGAGATAAAATACTTAGTGAGTTGAAGAAGTTAAAAAGAGAGGTTAAAGAAAATGCAGAAAATCTATCAAATCTGATTTATAAGATATAGAATTCATATAATATTGAAGAATTTAATATGAATCATAATAGACACATATGTTGAAATGAATCTTAAATGAAATCTTGCACAATCCTTGATATTTTTGAGGTTGATTAGAAATATTTTCAAATATAATAGAAAAAAAGATAATATAGAAAAGTCTTTAATTGGGAAGAATGTGTTCCAAGTAAGAATTGAATAGGAATGGAATTGGAGGGAAAAGAATTATTCTATGTAAATAAATTGATTAAATTAAAAACGTATTATAAATATGCAAAGTATATATAGTATTATGAAAAACGGGTAATAAGTGTAAATCACTTGAGAATGGTTGAGTTGTTGATTAATAATAAATAAAATGGCTAGATCATTAACAATATTGGCTATTGTGATTGCAGTTGCAACAGCTAGAGTTACAAAGAGTGAAAGTCCAAAGGAAATATTGGCTTAAGTGAATAAGGATTCATTTGGTAATTCAATCCTTTCAGTTCTCCAACTTTAATTGGCTACAGGAGGACCAGTCGGAGAGATCTAAATCCTTTTAAACAACATTGCCTCATAATTGAATGGAGATTAAAAGAAAGCTGACAAAGTTCATGAAAGTGACACAGTTGCATTTGAGAAAATCATTGCTGACTTAGAATAAGAAATTGCTTATCACTAATCCTAAATTGTTGCCTTATCTAACTTAAGAGATTCTACAACTGAAGCATTAGGTGAAGCTGAATAAGAAGTCAGAGTCGTAACATCAGATATTGCCAATAACGAAAAAAGTTTTGCTGACGAATCAGCTACAAGATAATCATAACACGAAACATGGGTTAGAAAGGATGCTGAACATGTTGATTAAATGGATGCCATTGATGAAGCATCAAAGATTGTTCAACATTTATAAGCTGGTGTAGCATTTGCTCAATTAAAGAGTAGATTTGAAAAAGTCTAAGCCAAATTAATGGAAAGTAAACATGCACTTTTTAAGGTATTTTCTATTAACTATCATTATCTAGCCACTCATTAATGCCTTAACTTAATTAGCCTCCAAAGTTGATAACAAGAGTATCATCAAGATCTTAGAATTGTTGGCCTAAATTAGATAATAATTAGTTGCTAGTAGAGCATCACTCCTTGCCACAGAAGAAAGATAAGCTGCTAATTGGGAAGTTTAAAGCTCTCATTTATAAGAAGAACACAAGAGATTAGT